CGTCGACGGGCGTGTCGCCTTCCGCCGCACGCATGCCAGCATGTCTTGGTTCAGCCTCTCAGCTGGATGCGTCCCACGCTCGAGCAAGCAGAGCTCGAAGGCTGGCCTCGTCTGCCCGACTGACAGATGTGGTGCTAGCTTGGGCCCATATAGCTGGAGGGGCTTCAAAGTGCAGTTGCGGAGGTTGGGTCACGCCAGCGTTTAGCCTCGCCAGAGGCCGCGTGGACGAGGTGCGGGCGTCGGTGGGCGTGGGCGCCGGCACGGGAGCTGATGCCGAAGCAGCGAGGAGGGCGCAGAGGGCTGCGTTAGGTATCAGGATGCCGGCTGGGGCGGGAGGCGGCAATGGTAGGCTTTGAGTTGGGTAGTATCGAATGAATGCGCAAGCGCAACAAACCAGTCTTGCCCATGCTTCGGATGTTGCACTGGCACACCATGATTCACACACATGCATAAAGATTGTCTACCTCCAGTGGTTCGACCCCAATCATTGCTGCCCTGGTATGAATTTGTAAAGTTTCCTCATCGCCGTCGGACTTCGTGGTCTCACGAAGTGTCCAGCAACAAATGTGAGCCTCAGTGACGACTTGATTCCCATTTGATTGACCACAGAGCATCTAGGCTTGTGAACTTATCCTCGAACAGTACGTGATACATTATAACTGCTGACAGTGCTAGCAATTGAGTCTTGCTGGGCGACGGAGAGCTAGACCTAGTGCCGGCTTTTGTACATCGGTGCCACGGAGCTCTCGAACTCCGAGTTGAGCATGATGTTCGCCAACCCAAAACGTGCCATAGGGGACGCTATCCTGGCCTTGGCTCCCGAAGTTGGCGCCCGCTCGGGGGAGGGGGGGATAGCCCTGTCGATCTCATCCGTTTGAGCCGTCCGGGTTTCGTCGAATCTGGGGACGGGAGGATGTACCGTTTCCAAACGACGTGCTGCGCCAAGAGTTTCTGCGCTCATCGTGAGAGGCTTGCCGGGATGCCAGGGTGAGAGGCTGCAGGAAGTACGTGTAAGCCCTAAAACTTGGAAGGGGTCTGTTGATGCGACCTGGGGAGGCCTTGTACTAGGAAGAGGGGTGTAAGATGTGCACATGTTTACTTTTGACGCACAGGGAGCACTGAACACCCTGCCATCGGATACCACCAGGACAAGTCCGACATGGTCTTGTGGTTTGCTCTTTATCGAAGGACTAGATAAAATAAAAGACGTTACATGTCTCGTGGTCTCGCCCTTTGAAGAGGTTTGGACTGCTGGTGACGAATGATGTCGAGCCTATAACGAGCATCGTCATGCTATCACCATGTGTGTTGTCGCCAAGACCATTTAGCATTTTTGAGAGTATGTCTGCAGCTCACCTACCATGTAGCTTATCTTTCCCAGTCGCCCCTCAAGTGAGTGTGTATGGGTGCATGGGTTGCAGACATACACTTCTCACGTCAGCTCTCGCACTGATCGGACCAACGCAAGGCTCCTATGACTGAACAATGAAAAAGCACCAGATTCATTCTACCAGTCAAAGACATGGAATCCCTGCCATTAAATACGGCTGCCGATTAATGCTTCCGATTTGCAATGACGTGTGTGATGGTTTCCATTTCTGTTCCCAGAATGCTGACAGCTCGTACCATGATGAGCCATCATACTAGCGGCTCGGCTTACAGCAGGCTGGTGAATCGTGTCGAGAGAATGACGCTTCGAGATTACAATACTCACGCGTCCAAAGCTCCCACTGCCCATACAATGATGACAGGGAATCAGCTTAGTCTGACATGGGGTTTCGTAGAACATCATGTGATAGCTTCAGCCTGCCTGTTTACTAGACTGGCGGATGACAAGGCTGTCAGATATGTTTCCCGAGCCAGCTAGTCAGATCAGGGATCGGGAAGTAACCATAAGCTGCCCCGCGGGGACACACCTCTGCAAGACAAGGGTAGAGGGGTGTGATGGGCGTTACCCCGCGGTGTAGGCTAGGATGGACTGACACCGCGGTGTGGTCTGAAAGTACGTCCAGAACTACAAAAGTACCTCTGGGCATAAGCAAAGAGACTTGATCGGGCTTGATCGGACCTGGTCCTTACCGATGAAGCTTCACACGACCTTTTCAACTCTTCCGTACTTGAATCATGATCGAGTCCTTCTCGCGTGCTTTTCTACGTGTTGGGAGTAGAAATTGAGCGGCTCTTGATGATTCGAAGAGTCAAAGCATTTCGGCTATAATCTGCCTGCCGAGACCCTGAATATCAGAAGACTCCTCCTCTAGCGTATATCTGCCCACAAGACCGGGCGCCAGGACGGTCGGCTTCGGCAAAAGACCAGGTAGATCGGCGATTGTGACTCGACATCTACGTGACGTGCCCGGCTTGGGCTGTGCAGATCCTGCGTTTCTTGATCGATGGCACGCAGACGGCAGCCCCTGCAGAGACACCGACAGGGTTACTAAAAGCAGCACCGGAGGATAACGCGAGCTTTGATGCGAAAGTTGCCCCCCTCATCATCCTTGAGACACCGCTTGGCCGATGTTACCCAGAGCATGTTGTCCCTCGGGCATTCTGGTTCAATCTAGAGTGGACATCCGACGGCGGGCTCCCATGGCGCAAGAACATGCAAGCATGTTCCCATTAGCCTTCATGAGCGTCATGCTTGATTCTTACCATAGAGGCCGGCTGGTGTACCACGCGCCTTCTTCGCACATGGCCGGTGCATCTTGGCACGAGTGCTTCGACCGAGGAGTGAATAGACGTGTGACGTGAAGAGAGACAACAGCACAAGTATTGGACAGCTGGTGCAGCTGTGGGCACAACATGTTTGCTGACGGCATCGTTTTGATACATGGCATGGCGACTGTTCCAGTCAGCCCAGTGCTTGATGCTGATGGCTGAAGCCCCTTGATGTGCAGTAGCCGCCAAGTCACGTCAGCCGGCCAGCACTAGCCGCATTGGGGACTAACAATCGTGGTGCAGCTGCGCCAGAGCTGTGCATGGTAACACAGAGTGATCGGGAATGTGTCAAATACAAGAGAGATCCTGACGGAGTGGCAATGTGATGTGATGCACGGCGGGAAGTTGGTGATTCGAGGCTACTCACCCCACCTATTTGGATAAATAGAAGAAGACTTCAAACAAGAGCTGCCACACGCTCTTGCTCTGTGCATATTAGGGCCATGCACTTTCATGTGCGTCAGAACCGGCTTGGCATAGGAAATGGGTCGGTTGGCTTGCTCCAAGTTCATGGGTCCCCATGTTTGTCTTGTTGGTGGGGTGTCAGCCTGCATCTTCTCACCTCGTACACAGGCCAATTGGATCGTACCCCCCGCGCACCCAGAGACACCATTCATAGCATGAATGATTGCCCCGGTCTACGGGTGGCGCACAGCATGTGCGGGTGTTGTTCTGGAGGTCTGCCGCCCCTGGTAGTCACGGGGTTATAGAGAAACCTTGCCCTCTTCGCTGACCTCAACTCTACTTGATCGCAGGCCGATAGTACGTCCAGAGGCAGATTGAATTCAACCGCTATTAGGAGCTCCCTTGGGTACGGAAGGGAAGAAGTTTGGTTGAGCGATGCGCTCTCTGTTCCGTTTTGCGAGTTCGATCTGCCGTTTCTTCTCGATGCGCAAAGCAAAGAAATTCCTGGACACCGTCTTAGCAATCTTGGTTGGTTTGGGGAGCATCGCCGAGGCTGCCTACTTCTGTAGGGAGAAAACCCTGGGCTCCTCTTCTGGCACTTCAGCTGCGGCGTTGGACTTGCTCTGCAACATGTTAGCTGCTTGCTTCTCTTCCGCTGAAGCGTTACGCATGCCTTGTCTTCATCATCATCCTTCTTGTCGGTTGATTTCTTATCCTCGGTCTGGCTGCTCTTGTCCTTGTCCTTTTCCTCTGACTTCTCTTGAGCTTCTTTCTCCTTTTTCTTGCGCTGTCTCTCTTCGTATTCTTTTTTGACGCGCTCGAGCTCCTCGTCCATCTCTTTCTTCTTCTTGGCCTCAACGGCTGCCGTGTCGATGATAGGGGCGCAAAAGTTTCTATCCTTCAGATGGCTTGGACACACGAAGAAGAAATCCTACAACTGTCAGAAACTTTGGTTCTATTCCCTGGGTAGATGGACTGACCTTGTTCTCTGGGGCGACAAGCACACTGGTTGTCGATCGGTAGCAAACATCGCACCCTTTCGCGGCTGTGTTAGCAACCTTGCGATGTGTATAGATATTGGCGAAAGACATGGTTTGAGCTACAGAACCGGAGGCTGTCGACAATATTCGCTTGTGACGTCGCGATCCAAACGAGGGGTGTAACTGGAGACGCGACAGTGGGGGAGTTTTGGCGTAATGCGGGGTGAGATCCCCTAACCTTCGTTCGGCATCAGATGGTCAGAGCTCGCTTGCCTGTGTTCCATCGCGATAAGACCCCTGAGATAAGAAAGCGCCGAGCTGCAAGGGCTGTGATGCACATCGTCAGGTCCGAGGCAAGCCCCAATAAATCCATCCCAAGAGATCCGTCTCCGTCTCAATCTCGAAAATGAGCGACTCTGCTTGAATATCTAGAAGGCTCCCTCTTCGACGTAGATCTGCCCGCAAGACCGAACGTCCGCGAACGCACCACATTTCTGGCCGCTGCGTTGCCCTCCCAGAGCAGGCTGGGACTCAATGAACAAGCTCCAATCCGAGCAGCTGAAGGCTTTTGTCGCTAGCATCAACCAGGACATTGCGAAGACCTTTGACTACGCGACAAGGGTCGAGATGAGGGCGGCCAAGGGTGGCACAAGCAAGCATAGCGTCCTTGACCAGATCAAGGGCTTTAGAGAAACGATTGCTTAGTTGATCAAAGAATGCGCCTGGATCATGCATCGTCTTGGCTGGATTTGAGTAGTAAACATGATAGAACAGCCGTTCGAATTTGGCCCTGAGATGCCCAAGGCTGATTGAAGCCACGCCATGGAGCTTAATTGTTGAAATTGTGGTTGCATATCACATTCCGGGACATTGCTCTCAGCAAGGTGGAAGAAGCGGGCGGTTCAATTACCCGACCTAACCCCGGACCATCTCCAATGCACGTCACAGCCTTGAGACCTGCAGGCAGAGCAGACAGCCAAAACTCGGTCGCACGGCGCGTACAGCTTCATGGCCAGTATTCCGCACTCGAATCTGCACGAAATCTCCCTACTTCGACGTTATTTTCCTTAAAAAGTTGCGAACGACGTAACATACCGTCCAGCCTCCACGAATACCAAGCGAGCACACATAGTCTAGTCCAACATCTTCAATCATGGCCCCAGGCCTTGACATTCAAAGACTGGGCCTTGTATTCCAGTCGCGACCGGACATCCTCGAGGGCATTCAGCGCGAAGCCAGTATGCTGCGCGTAAAAACCAACTTGATCATTTCGCCACTGACTTTCTATTTGCAGATTCGGCGTCACGAGTAACGTTGTTCAACGACATTGCCAGCTTCGTGTACGAACAGACGAACGGCCCCGAGCCGGCTGCGAAGCGGCGTCGAGTCGATGTCGACGCCTCCAACGGCTTCAAGGCCTCCAATGGCAACGGAACCATCAATGTCGCAGGATCCGTTCCGGCCTCGGCGGCAGAGGCAGCAGTAGACGAGCCGGTTCAGCTCGAGATTAAGGAGATTTCCGTGTCGGTACCGCAGCGCAAAAAGTTTGAGCTGTGCTTCACCGACAACCACCTCTACGCTCGCGTCCCGGGCACAACTACGCCGGCGGCAGGCATCGCATACGCCTGGGGAGACATTGGTACGATTGACCTTCTCCTGGCCTTCTCTTTCGACTAAAGCTAATCTTTGCTGTATCCAGAATACGCCTTCTACCTCCCAATTCCCGAAAAGACGCAGGTTCAACATAACTACATCATATTCCCCCGCGGAGCATGTCTTCCTTCTAAGACAGAGACGGCTATTCCTACGGCTGAGCCTCTCGTCTTCACCGTGCCCGCAACGGCTCCAAAGCAAGGCACAATTCTCGGTCCCAAGGCTAGCAGTGCGGCTGCTGTCTCCGACACATACCGCTCGCTATTCGACTGGGCGCTGACGACCCATCTCCGTGCCGCGTCAAATCCCATCAACATAGTGTCAGCCGACCCCGCCAAGTTCCACAGTATGGTTAGGCAGCCACATCGACCGAACGAGAAGGCTGTGCATGTCAAGGCATTCCGCGGCTCAAAGGATGGGTATCTGTTTTTTCTGCCGACCGGCATCCTTTGGGGCTTTAAGAAACCGCTCCTATTTATCCCCTTGGAGCGGATCTCGTCATTGAGCTACACGAGCGTGTTGCAGCGGACATTCAACATAGTGGTCGAGGCTTTCACGGGCGAGGGCGACGCGACCGAAGAGCTCGAGTTTGCAATGTTGGACCAGGAGGACTACCAGGGGATTGATGAATCGTACGTCAAGCGCAATGGGCTACAGGACCGCAGCATGGCGGAGCAGAGGCGAGCCAAGATGGAGCTCGTGGAGAACCAAAAGGCCGGAAAGAAGGCAGCTGGCGCGGGCGATGTCGCGCCGGAGGCTGGTGCAGATACCGATGGCAGGACGGAGCTGGAAAAGGCGCAGGCTGAGGCAGAGCTGCAGCTGCAAGACGAAGAGGATGAGGACGAAGAAGATTACGACCCGGGGAGCGAGGGTGAGAGCGAAGGATCGGGCGTCTCAAGCGACGAAGACGATGAGGACGATGATCAAGAGATGGAGGGTGGCGAGGACGATGAACAAGACGATGCAGGGGACGAAAGTATCAATGTCAAAGGCTGAGAGGCCCGCTCCGCCTAGGGCTTGACGAGATATCTGCGGGAAACAATATCATCTGAAGGAACTGTCAACATTCAGTTCCTTCGATTTCGCCTTTCCTTTCCTGACAAGGCCTTCACCATTTGAAAAATCCGTGTCACCTCCACCAGGTTTATCGGCTGATACTAACCGGACAGATGTCCCAGACCAAGTCTCCCCCCTTTCTGACCTTATTTGATGTCGTTCGAGGACTTTTAGCACTTGGCAAAAGGGCTCGCCAAGAGGATAGGACGAACCGACGATCGCGACCGAGGCCCCAGGTGGAAAGCACTGGGGCACTTCTGGATTTTGCGTATTCTCGCATTTCGATGCGCAAAAACACTCGCTAACCCGAATTCGGAGACGTCACAGCCTCACTCATCGACACGTCGCAATGAATCGGAGCAACGAGCTGTGGCGTGGTGGAACACGATGGCTTGTGTTCTCCAGTCAACGTTTATCCATTTCGCCCCCCTGTAATCTCTGCCCCGGCGCTTCGTCAAGCTTGAATTAAAGTTGCAGTGCCTTCTTGTCCTAACGGGTGATGTTCGTGCGCCAAATCCGAGCTTTACGTATGCTAAAATTCGGATCTGGAGGCCAAGACGCTTGGATTGTGGCTTGTATAACCAACATTGCGTACCTTTGCCAGCGAAAAGAGTAGGCTTAGCATATGCAATCTTCTTTCCTGAAGAGTTCCAAAACAGGGTTCATACCGCCATCCCCTGTCATGCCGATCCATCTCGCGGGATCATGGGATGACTTATAAAGCAAACTTGATGCCTCTCGTCCGTATTGTTGGCCCAATAATCTCCCAGACTGGTGGCTTATTTTCCCACTCGCAGTCATCAATATTCCCTTTTTAAACGAATTCGATCGGTTCGCAACTGTATCACTCTTCAGACAGCCTGTACGCAGGTTTCAGGGGATAACATGGCGCCTCATGATGTTGCCTTTCGGTAAGTTCTCGTCAACCCCCCATATTATTCAAGACCCTTCAGTGAGCGTGCAATAACCAACAGTATACAGGCTACCTTCAGCGCTCATGATCTGGGCCATGTATCTCGGCCTACTGACTTCCGGTGTCTTCGCACAGATGGCGGATCGAAACTTCACATCTACTGCGCCAGAGTGCCCAGAGCAGCTCCCTGCTGGTTCTCGTTTCATCACTCCTGATTGCACGGATCCATCTTTCTCCATGGCCATTATCGATGATGAAATCGACGCGGCTACGCCAGTTCCTCATCGCCTTGTCTCAGGTCACTTCAATGGGACAACAACGAGGTTTAACATCTACCTTCCGCCTCGTAACAAGTGGGAAGGTCGCTTCTTTCAATTCGTCTATCCTTTGGTTACCGAGGAAGCCAAAGATGAGACTATCGCCTTTTCACTAGAGAGCGGCGGCTATGCCGTCCAGATCACTGGAAGCATTGGCTTCCGAGCGGATGCGGCTGCGGCCAAGGTTGCCAGGCAGGTTGCTGCTAAGTACTATAAGTCGGGCTGTCGGCACATTTACGGTTACATCTATGGTGGCAGCGGCGGGTCCTTGCAGACCGTCGGTGCAATTGAGAACTCTCGCGGTGTTTGGGACGGTGCTGTTCCCATGATCCAAGCAGTCCCTGTTTCGTTCCTCAACAACCCTGCCATACGCGCGCTCTCCGGTCTCGTATTGAAAGACAAGGCCGCCCAGATCGCCGACGCTGTCCGGCCTGGCGGGGGTGATCCACGAGAGAATCTAACCGCAATGGAGCGAGCCGTTTTTGACGAGGCGACGATGCTGGGTATTCCTTTGGGAGTGTGGGAGGTATTCGACCTTGTTACAGACTCGGCTGTATTGGCTTTGTTCAGCGATGGAGTTGCGTCACACGATCCGACGTACGCCCAAGATTTCTGGAACGCACCTGGGTATCTCGGTACGGAGCAGTCGGAGCTCGGTGACTTGATCAGAGCGCAGGCTGTGAATCACACGGCGCGCATCAACAGCATCGAGAGGGCCGGGAACCAGACCATTCGCCTCTTACTGGACAGCGCACCTCCGACGCAGCCCGGGCTTCATTTTGAGCTTCATAATGATCAAGGCGAAAGTTCCGGTGCCCTCGTTGGCACTTTGGACGGCACAACCTTCACGGTCGAGGTAGACAAGAATGAGGACATCTTCTCTCTTGTTAACCAAAATTCTACCGTCCAGATCGACAACTTGCTCTTCATTGCCGTACACGCATATTACCGTCATCAGATTCCCAAGAGAGATGGGTTTTACGGCTTCGACCAATTCAAAGACGCCACTGGCCAACCTATTCATCCCCAGCGCTCCGTTGATGGTAGCCTCAACGCAGCCGAGTCAACGAGCCAGGGGCGATTTACGGGGCAAATTCAAGGCAAGATGATTGCCGTCAACAGTCTTCTCGACTACGATGCATTCCCTTGGCACGCGGACTGGTACCGCAGTCAAGTAGAGGGCGCTCTCGGTTCTCGTGCCAACGACAATTACCGCCTATGGTTCAACGAGCACGCTGACCACACCTTTGCCGCCGGGTTCGATGAAAGCCTCCCGGCTGGTGCGCGTGCCGCACGTATCGTCGATACTTCCCCCATTGTTCACCAAGCGTTGCGAGATCTCAGCGCCTGGGTAGAGCAGAGCATTGATCCATCGCCGTCTACAAACTATACAGTTGTTGACGGCCAGGTTCTGGTTGCTGAGGCTGCTTCGCAGCGATTCGGAGTACAGCCTGCGGTCACTCTGCAAGTCAATGGCTCCGATAGATATGACGTTGCCGCCGGCACACCGGTAATTTTCGATATGTTCGCTGAGGTCCCCCCTGGCACAGGCAAGATCATCGCGACGGAGTGGGATTTCATGGGCCGCGGAGAGTTTACGGCGGTGCCGTTGGCTCCCGTCAATGAATCTGTCGACGCTTCAGTCCACTTTGTGTACGAGGAGCCGGGGACTTATTTCCCTGCGATCAAGGTGACTGCACACCGAGATGGCGATACAGAGGCTGTCTTTGGGCGGGTCTCCAACCTTGGTCGCTGCCGAATTGTGGTCTCCTAATATTTTGTTATTCAAAGCAAGTTATGTATATATGATGACCATTGAAATCTAATCATGGCCCTGTACTCTTTACAAACGCACCCATATTTTGCTCTATTTCTGTATCAATGACCGTCGCTCGGACAAGATGGACAGCCTGATGCCCCTGGACAGATCGACATTGGTGCAGGAAACAAGCACTGTTCGAGCTGCAGGACTGTAGGCAGAATGTCTTGCACCGACCAGACGATATCTCAATGGTTTTAGGGCTTAACAATCTCAACCCCTGCATTGCGGTGTCTTCGGAAGAGACATTGCTGGCAATCCCTTGTCCATAGCGGATCAAATGTTCCGGTCCAACTTGCTGGAGTGTTACCCCTGCAGCCAGAAAACGGCGCTTCTGTTGGGTGATGCAATCATGATTAGGATCATGCTTAAGCTCCGGCGAACTAAACCTTTAGCCGTAGCCCAGGCGCGGGATTTGCATGGCAGACTCTCGACATGATCGTCGTAAATCGAAGGGTTGGCAACGGCCAACTTTGCACCGATGATCTGTCAGTTCGCCCTGGAGTGGGCGGCACATTCATCATGTCGTCATGCCCCAGCTCAGGATCCTTGATAGCTGTTCGAGGTCAGGCGAGGTACTTAATGACAGCAACTCAAACGATTAAATGGGCAGGCGATGGCCTGAAAACAGCTCCGTCTAGAGATCATTCCTTTCGTCTGCCTCTCGTCGTGCCAAGACTCCGCGCTCCACAGTTGCCTGTCGCTCACCTTCTCCATACTCATCGTCTGGCACACACCAACATGGCCCCAGCCCACCCCTTCTCTGGACTACCCCTAGTCGGCCGCTTTGCATTGCCAGCATCGCCGGCCTCCGACCTCACACCGACCAAAAGCTTCCCTCTCGCGGTGCGAGATATCCTCAAACGCCAGGCCACAACAACCGTGGTTGCTGAGCCCTCCGACGGAAACGATGGCGGTACCAATCTGAGCGGCGGCGAGATTGCCGGCATCGTCATCGGCTCCATCGTTGGAGTGCTCCTCCTCTTCTGGATTGTTCGATCCTGCGGCATGTGGGGACAGCCTGGTCTCTGGGGCCGCGAGCCGTCGCCGCCGCCGAGACGGCGCCACAGGGGTCGGTCAAGCCATGGCCACTATCGTCACCAGTCAACTGCATCCCGTCGGCGCTCCCCTTCTCACGGACGGACGTCGTACGAAGTCCGTTACTCCCCGAACGTTATGCGCGAGAAGAGCCGGTCCCCGCGCAGGCCAGATGTTGTCTACGACCACCGCCGCGGGAGCCTGGGCCGGTCGAGGAACTACGATTACGACTACTGAGCTGGAAATATATTGGCGTTTTGTATGATAGCAATGAGACATGATAAGGTGCTAAGGCACCGAGGAGTGGTCGTAAATATGGCATCAACGTTTCGAGCTGGAATATGTCCTGAAAACATTGCAATCCGGGAAGTATCTGAAGCTGAGCGGTATTGATTCTGATGCTACCTGTAAGCAATATTCCACAGTGTGCCTTTCTTCAATACCAGCATTATCTATTCCGCGTGTACACCAGAAAGTAGCTTGCATTTACATTGGCGGGTCCATACACCGTCTCTAATACATGTACCTCCAGGTCAGTGCTCTATCTCCCTTGCTTGATAGCTCTTTTGCTGTATAGTGACTGTCCTCGCCTGCGGCCAGTTTGCGGTCGCGCTTCTTGTTGATGGTCATGTAGCTGAAGATGAGTATCAATGCTGCGATAATGCCCGCGCAGATGAAACCAATCTCGAGCGCATGCCCGAGGATGTAACGAGGCGAGTCTTCTCCTCTATAAAAGTTCGACGCCATAGCCTGATCGCCGCGTTAGCTTTGGTGAAAGCATCAGAGGCGGATGGACCTACGCCGCCGAGGTTACCAACACCAATTTGGATGGCCATGCCTGCACTGCGCTTGTAGCTGCCGGCCAAGTTGTTCGCCAGCCAAGTAATGACACCTGGAAATGCTGGGTAGATGGCACAGGCCGCGATGAAGACACCTGCATAGACAACGCGGGGGTTGGCCGAGGCCAAACACATGGAGAAGCCGACGATCATCACACACAAGAAGCCCACGATGAAGGGGCTCCGCTTGCCGACCTTGTCGGAGATGTAGGCAATGATGACCGCCAGAATCGCAGCGGTGACGTAAATCGGGACGGTCATCAACTGCGCCGTGCTCGATGTGTATCCAAGATTGCGGATAATTGTAGGTAGAAATAGACTGATACCGTAAAGAGGACAGACAATCTGCGAATATTGAATCAGTTTTGTTCCGTCTCGGTTCGGTACTATTGTCAAATCTTACCCCCCAGTACACGAAGATGTTGACCCAGATCTGCCAGTCCTTGAAGGCATCGCCGACATATCTCCACTTGAACTCCTCGGCTTCGGGAACAGCGACCTGGCCGATCTGCTTGCCCTGGATCTGGCTCTGGTACTTGAGACGAAAAACGACGAAGGCGCGCTCCTCTTCTGAAAGGAAGGAAGCCGTCTCGGGAAAGTCATGCAGCGCAAAGAATGCCCACACGGCGACAAGAACAGTGACGATGCCCTCGAGGATAAAGATCCAACGCCATCCTTCCAAACCACCAACACCGTGCATCTTTGAGATACCGAAGGCCAAGAGGCCGCTGAACGCGCCAGCAATAGAGGCTGCGGAGAAGAACAGCGCCTGACGGAACTGGATCTCATGGCGACAGTACCACATTGTAAGGTAGTACTACATAGGTCAGTGTGCGTAACGCCCCTTGCAGCCGTCAATTGAACTTACTGCCACGCCAGGGAACAAGCCAGCCTCGGTTACTCCCAGGAAGATGCGAGCAATGAGAAGCCCGTGGTAGCTTTGCACGATGCCCATGAGAGTCATCACTACACCCCATGCGACCATGATGGTGGGGAGCCAAACGCTGGGCCTGAGCTTCTTCAGTAACAGGTTGCTTGGGACCTCGAAGGCGGCATAAGTAAAAAAGAAGACAGTGAGACACCAATTGTACTGGTCATCTGACATGTGCAGGTCTTCCTGAAGGCCTTCGATCTTGGCATTGCCGATGTTACCACCTAGCCACAGGATCAGCTATACAAAGCTGCCAGAAACGGCAAGGAGAAGAGGAATCTCACGGTCCAAGAATGAAAGCAGGTACAGAAGCGCCAGCATGGGAATAAGGCGGACGTCCATCTGAGACGTGGTCAGACCAGAGTTCATGTCCTTCGTTATGAGGAAAAGCACACCTTTCTGAGGACCTTCTTCTCGTCTAGATGTGCAAAAGACTCGATTGTCGTGCCGGGGGCGGTCGCGATACCGTCGATGCGGTCTTTTTCGCTAAGTCCATGGCCGCCTTCTGCCTCGGACACGTCCGGCTTCTCGGTATGGTCATTGGAGGCCCTCGTGATGCTCATGTTGGGCGATTGGAACAATATTCAACTTCGGAACCGCTGGAAGAATATACAGGCAGCGGCGGACAGTCCATGACAAATAGCACATGCACGTACCGCAGTTGGGCATCTCTCCCTTTAAGCACGCCGTCGGTGTTGCTTTCCACCACGAGGGTCAACCTGCTAGTCAAGTGCACCACCCGCTGCGAAGAGGATCGGCAGCCAGCATCATCAGCGGCTTCTAAAAGCCCCGCCGAGCCCATATCCGTCCGATCTGTGGCGGCGACGCCAGCCACAGGTAGCGCACCAATATATATATAGCTACGTAGGACTCCGCGCCAAGCGATGAGTTAGAACCAATCTATCCACTTTCATACCCAGCTTTGCCCACACGATCTGCCTAGGCCGCTAATGAGGGATGTCTGGGCTGCCAGTCTGGGGCCCCGGATTACGGGCTTAGAGGCTCTAGTAGACGTTCCCCCGCACGCTGCCGCCCGTGTTGGTCAACGATCGGAGGGAAAGCCGCTGCAAGACGGCGGAAAGAGGCCGCCTGGGCGCTGTCGCTCAACTCGAACCCCCGTGGGAACGAATCATGGCGAGACATCAATGTACACCTACACTGCATATGCTGAATCGTGGTGTGGTGGATGACAGCCGCCAAGTGATGTCATGGGATTGCAGGCGAAAGTGTTCGTCCCAGCCGCAGAATAGCTCTATGGAGTCGGATATAGAGCATCCAGAAGCGCTAGAGACTAAAGGTGCCTTCAGTAGTGCCTCAGCGAGCGAGTGAAGCAGCGCCTCATGCCGTCATAAACGCCTTGCCATCATCGCTGCCGCTTGGTCACTCACACCCACATGATACCATCGGTCTTTGCGGGCTCATCCCGAAGCATGCGTCAAACCTGCATTAGAGTGCCGCTAATTTCACAACACATATGACATCGCTCGATTGAATCTTCCTCGCGATCACGTCGAAGCTGTCAGTGCTTGGTTTAGAGTAGAGTGAAGAGGTCTTTCACACGTGATTCGCAGGCATAGAATAGAGGTAGGGGGTCGCAATACATCTGATTCTGGCCCTCCGCAGTCCTTATATATAACTAGGTACATTCTCGTAGCCCTTAACCCCCTGACCGACCCCCTGCTTGGTAGCTCCGCAAGGCCACCTAACAGAAGCCTCCTTGCTTGGAATAAGCGCCGCCTCGAGCTGTGTGCCCAGCAATTGATTTATAGGAGATCGATTGCAACAGGGAAGGAAGGTCATTATTCAAACTTTCAAGTTATGCAGGTCAAAGACGACAGCTGAATCTCTTTTCATACCGAAAAGGAATTGCAAAACGTGTTTATTTTCCAGAAACGTAAATACGTAACACAATGAACTGTACGACCATCCATGTAGTCGTCCATGGGAGTTTACCATCGCCATATAAGCCTTAACCCTGAAACCCGCACTCGTGTCAAATCTGCTGCCTCTTCCGAAAAGGTGGTCAAGCTTTCGTGACAACTTCCGATGGCCTGCACTAGCTACATACAAGAAGAAAGAGAGTTCTCAATGTTGAGTTTCTAAAGGTCTCTCAGCTATCAAGGCCAAGGCCTAGGTCCGGGGAAGACATTTCAGAGGAACAGCTGCCTCCCTCTTGATGATAGGGAACCAAACTCTGACCTGAGGATAGTATCCAAACTCATGCCACACATAGACATATACTCGGCTGATAAGCGGTCATTAACGAACTTGTGAAACTCAAGAATCTGTACACCACGCCTGAGCGTGGTGATACCCAACAGAACAATTTGTTGAAGACGTGGCTCTAAGAACGCTCGAAAAGCAGGACCCAGGTACCACACGGCGAATCGAGTGTATTGTCTTCAGAAAACTTAAATAGTATAGTCCTCCTTGTACGCCATCCGCCATTGGTTCGAATCACCCTGGGCTCTGCGCCTTACGTGGCACGGCGTGAATCCATGCGGCTAAGTACTAGAAAGCTCGAAACCGCTCTCTCTCTCTCCTCCCCAAGCGCCGGATGCCACTCAGACCTGGAAGAAGGGCGCGCCGACGACCTTGGCAACCTCCTCGGCGACAAGCTTCTGGATGGCCACGCCGGGGTGGTAGTCGTTGAACCACAGGCAGCTGGTGCCGTCCTCGTTCCAGCAGGTAGCGTCGGGGGCGCCGTAGGCAGTCGGGTTGGCGAGAGCCTTGTCGAAGGGCAGCGCCGTGTCGACGAGCCAGGTCCTGGCGTCGGGGTTGGCGGCCTTGAAGGCAGCGAGGTGCTCCTGGATCAGGTCGTTGTACAGGTCGATGGCGGTAGCGACGGCACCCGTTTCTGTCTGGCCTTGGGAGAAGAAAGCAGGGGTCCTCCATGTGGCTGTCGTCTGTTAGTTCCGGGGGCTGCTCCAATCTTGATATCCGACGGGGTGAACTCACGGGGGACACTAAGGATGGCGAATTGCCTCGCGCCGGCGTCGTAAACGGTCTGCAGGAGACCAAAGTAGCGAACCAAGATGGTCTCGTACCGTTGTTGAATGTCGGAGAACCAGAAAGTGTTACCGACATCATTGACGCCGATCCAAACGCCGACAAGCGTGTTGTCGGCCTCCCAAGGAGCCCAGGAGGGGTGAGGATCAACAGCGAGGTTGGGGACGAAAAGATCCTGGACCTGGTCCTCGAAGCTCAGCACCTCGGGCGCAAAAGGCGTGACCAGGTCTGCTGCCGTCGTGGCGCCGCCGGAGGCCAGGTTGTATGACAGCAGCACATCCTTGTTGTACTCGGTAGCCGCAAAGGCGACCCAACCCAAGCCGCCGCTGGCCGTCCAGCCTGGCAGAGGCGGGTTGCCAAGGGGGTTCTCGGCCGTCGGCTTGGTACCGGAGAAGCTGAAGCCGCTCTGCGAGTAGGAATCACCGCTACAACGAGATTAGCCACGAGTAGATTCAAGCCGCTGCCGTGGCGTCTTTGACCTTCTTCCTTGACTTACAAAGTGACGAAGTACTTGGGTCCCGTGGGGTTGGTGGGCACCGAGGAGGTCGCGACCGGAGGGTGCGAGGAGCAGGGCGAGCCGCCGGCGATGCGGGCAGCGCCGACCGCCGAGGCGAGGCCTGCGATGAGGAGAGTTGACGTGCCCTTCATTGTCGGATGTGATGCTCAGTATTCCTTCACGCTGACGACGATTGTTGTGGCTGGCGGGACGTGGACATCGTGACTGGCTATATACTTCTCGGGAGGAGACCATGGTCGTCACACTCCGCGGCATCGCGTTCCGGCAACGGATACGGCCAAGCCGACATATATTACCCATCCCATGACGATCGTCATTGGAGGAGGTGTGTTAAACGACCTGGAGACTGTTGTGATGTGAGCGGGAATCCATCGATGTTCCTGCATGGCAAATTGAGGGATCCTCTGCGGGGGTGCGGAGGGGCGCCATCCCGTGCCCAGAAAGGGGAAGGCCGGCCCGCGTTCAGACCCTGTAGCGGCCAACTCTACTACCGGCTGAACGGATCAGGCGCGGGGTGGGAACAAGAATTGAACCAGATGGACGACGGAGCTGGTTCCGAATCAATGCAACAGTCCCTGGGCCTCTAGGCTCTACCTGCTCTGATCATATGTGACGACCCGGTTCAGGTGAGCGATGTCGCGATCCGTCAGGGTTGACGATGCCACGAGGGACCTTGTTTCAGTCTGAGTGTCTCCTCGTCCCGAAAGTGCCATTTTTTCTCCGCCTTGCCCGTCCTCCCCTTGTCTGCCGAGTGTGATGGGGCTGCGAATCAGGTTTACGAGTGGAGAGAAGCAGCTGTCAACGAGAAGCCAAGATGCTAAATTCATCGTCTTTAAACTGCCAGACACATTACACCCACCCACTTGGATCCGCATATTCCGGGCTCGTCAAAAAGAAAATTGTTGGCCACTGTCAGCCTTTCAACCGTCAAGGATTGCGTCCATGTCCCGTCGCAAATCCGCCAGCTGCTTACCCAGGCTATCCTCACGACTCTTGATAGCCTGAAAAGAAACGTCTACCACGCCAGAGAACATGGACCCATCCGAACTCCTACCGCCTGATGACCCACCAGGTCCCAGGCTGGCGGCCGCATTCCTCAGCTGCGACAGAAACTCTTCGGCCAGCTGAATGGTCAACGACATCTGCAGCGACGGCGTCGAGTCGACGGCGAATGAACCAACCGTCACGTCAGGCAGCTTCCAGTACCGGAGACCGTCTCCAGCTTCAAGCTGCGATAGGTTCCCGTGAATACAGCTGAAGACCTTTTGATACATGTCCAGCAGCCGAACATAGGTTGAGAGAATGAACATTGACGAGCCAGGATCGGCCTTGCTATTGAGAGACTTGCCGCGGCTGGTCTTGGTGTCGGGGGCTTTTGCGGGTCCGTCTGAGGGTGTGATGTCCTGCACGGCCTCAGCGAACTGCTGAGACAGCTTGAACATCTCATCTACGGGGAACGGGACGGTGCGGTGCCTTCCAGAACCGTTGCCATGATGCTGCGAGCTTTTGCCATGGTGCGATTTGCCGTCCGCACACTCAATCTGGTACGGCAAGGCAGATGAGAGCTCAAAGAGCCTCGAGTTGATGTCCGATAGCCGAGGCATCCAGTGACCTGCCGAAGAAGAAGTGGCTTTGCCGGCCGTTGATGACTTGAGGACGATCTGACGAGTTTTGAACTTGCCGCGAGGCTTGGACACCCGCGGTGAAGGGCGGTCACTGGACTGTCGCTGGTTCAACGTGGCCTGCTGTTGTTGGTTGTGGTGTTGCTTCTTGCTGGTAGCAGAGGCTGCCGTCGTCGATGTGAAGGCAAGCGGGCCGCCCTCGGTTTCGGTAGGCGCGCGTGGTGGGACGGAAGGTAGAGGGGGAGGAGTATGAGATACCAGTGTGCTGGCATGCAGGTGCTGTGGGAGCCACGTATCGGTGATGTTGTCCCTGGATATAAGATGCTGGGAGAGGCCAGGGTGGAGTTGTGAAGGGTGGTGATCGACGACGACGGTATGCGACGGGTAGAGGGCCGCAGCCGGGTCAAAGCCGCCGCCGCCGCCAAAGGCATAGTCGGCGATGTTCATCATCTGGTCGTGTGTGACGGTGCCGCCCGATGGATGCGATTCGAATTCACCGCTCATCGGGAGACCGACTGAGGCTTCGGCGAAACCGTCAGAATTGGTTGTCGTTTTAGACAAAATGAAAGACATTGGCAGACTCACCAAAGTCAGGTGGCACAGGGAGGTTCTCGCTTTCCGTCCGTTTCCGCTTGGGTGATCGGCCTCCCTCGAGCAGCAGCGCTGTGCTCGAGCCAGAAGGGCCCGTCGTCTCCTCCAGCACAAGGGACTCGACAGCCGTGTGTTGCTTTCGGTATCGCAGCGAAGGGCTTGATTTGCATTCGGTTCGGAGCCGGAGGCAGCGCTCGCAGGCTTCATCGCCATAGCGCTTACAGCTGAGCTTCTGGGCGTGGCAGCGGTCGCAGGCTTTGCGATTGGGACAGTCGCTCATGGCTATGGTCATGGCCATGGCGTGTGGGCGGCATTCGGTGGTGAGTGTGGTGGGGGATGGAGGGTGTAGTCTCCTTCCAGATGGGCCAATATGGAGTAAAATAGCAGCCTGGCTCCAGCCCCTGGGCCATGTGTCTCCCGTTGTTCCTTGAGAAACTGAGACTACCCCGGGTGGGTGCCGTTGAACCCAGCATGTGCCTGATGGAACATGACCGAGGGTCGAATCCACGCTGTCGCGCCCGGCCCATGAGTTGGCCAGCCCTCGCCCAAGTCGTACTCCGTGTTGGTGGACTCGACTGACCGAGTGCCATGGAGTGTGTGCGCGTAGTAACCAAAACGAAGACGGAGAAGAGCAGCCATACCCAGACTGTGCGACAGGGCCAATGTGCGGGCCCGCGCTTCGAGAAAGCATGCATGTGTGTCGCCAAGGATCGATGCTGTACACGTACGTGGGTCAAGGACGTTCCTGATGAGCGAATATGAAAGATACAGCTTGTTATTGAGAGGAAGGTGCTTTGTGAGCTCTCGCCAACAGTGACGTACGGAGAATGCTCTGGACTATTTCTTGTTGAAACGGTCGACATGGCTACCCAGCAGAATGAGGTACCGAATGAATGCATGTGCCAACCAAGGCGCCTGGCGGTGTGTTTCTGTTCCATTATTGGATTCCACTCTCCAGGGCCTACTTCGTCCGATGTCTACACAGAAATATCAGCAATTAGGCATGCATTGGCCAGTATCTCGACCACAAGCCCAGGGTTGCTGACCTCCATTGGACAAACACCGTTACCCGCCCTGTGGCTTTCCTGCCCCTCTCGTACGGCTGTTTGAGTCAGTTTGTCCTCTGAGGTCTTCGTCGCGAGCTCTGGCAGCGCGGTTGGAATCATGCATCGAATGCAGGGTTGACTTGTGCTCCGCATCGGCTGTTAGGCCCAATCTCGTCGCTTCGCCATATCACGAGCTTCGGCAGGCAATATGCGAGCCCTGGCAGAAGATAACCTATGGAGGCAGGAGTTTCGAAAGACATGTCTTCCCGGTGATTGTGCCACGGAGCCGGTTGGGGTTCCGTACGAGATGACAATCTGGTGTGAGCGAGGGGAATGTGTAATCAAGGCTGTCAAGGCCAAAGGCTGTCAAGGCCAAAGGAAGTCAAGGCCAAAGGAATTTAGGCCCAAGGAAGCCAGGCCACAGACGTCCCGCGGACTGTTCCGGGCTGGCGGGAGTCGTCTTCGTCCGAGCTCAGGTAGCAAGCTCAAGGGACCCGAGCCTAAGGATACTTTCCGAGAGTCAGTGCGCTTCTGCGCATCCGGATGCAAGGTCTCTCGTTCGACGAGCAGGTTGCCGCTGACCTGTCTCGTGCGTGAAGGGTGCCACGGTGAGCGGTGGGCTGGAACCCAGAGACGAGGAACGGGGACGGGGCGTGTAGGGATGAGGGTTCGAGACAGTCCCGGCATAGCGCCTCAGGTTCTGCTATACTTGTTGTCTCTTGGAAACAGGAATCGAGCCGTCACGGCGGTCAGGGCGCGACGGGGACGCGTTTGTCTCGGGAAGGCACATGGTGGCGGCGGCCCAGCGGGCGTGTGGTCAACAAGCGGCGATATTTTGGCCGGGCGTAGTTGACGGGGACCGCTTCGAGAGCGGTTGAGTATGCTTCTGGGTTCTGTTTATGAGCGTGCTATCCGATGGGGGGCTGTAGAGATGATGTCGGTGTTTTCTAGGGAATGGAGGAGAGACATCCCACAGATAGATGTAAGACACCAGCAGCGTGGAGGCAAGTGCAATCGGGTGAAGCAATGGAAGCATCCGGATAGGGTAGGTGCACAGGAGTACCCCCAACCCAATCTGGTTGAGTGACCAGAGGAGGTGATGCTTAGCGAGGACACGTGACCATGCGTACCTTAGGTACCTACCTGTCGACGCTGTCCTGCCCCTCGTCGCGGGCTTCATCACCTTGAGACAGCTTCCTGTTGTACCATGGCGCCATACCAGCCATACGCCATCCGAGGCGGACTCCGCGCTGCCGCGTATGCCCGATGGATTTCGGTTACAGTCTCCATTGGGCCTGATGGCGATTACTGATCCTCACCATGCGAGTTCGCTTGCGACGTTCCAGTCCTCATTGTGAGCTTGGCCCGAGTTCATACCCTTGCTGCAGGATGATCTTGTGATTCTACTTAGAAAGCAGAGGAAGAGGAAAGTCATGTCTTGGGCGTATTGCACTCGCCCTTTGCGTCGTCTGAGACTGAGTGAAGGTCACATGGCGATCTCAGCATCACGCAGTTGCAGTGGGTTGCTTCTTTCGTATCACATCCACTGCATTGATATTGGATTCGGAAGGTTAGGATGGAGATTCGGGTCGAGATGGGCCTCAGATTCAACCTGGTCCATCTAATGCTCCTGTACATAAGACGCAGGGGAAAGAAAGAGTAAGAGGACTAATGTAGGAATCTGTGACTTTACTGAGAGCACGTGTCAAAGGATAATTCCTTACGTAAGAGAGTAATAAATCTTCTTCATCTAGGTAGCTTTTGAAAACCTAGCGCCTGAAAAATATCAAAAGGAAGATACCACACCGTACCATGACATCCCAAAGACCCGATTGATAATGCGAGGTGGGTAGCTCAACGGATTCTTAGTAACCCCTGGCCTCAGGAACCGGAGTATTGAAGCCTACCAGAGTACCAAAGTCAAGCTTGCGTCCGATGGTAGATTTTAGTCCTGAGCACAGGACTCATTCGCGACGAGCCGAAGAGCAGACGTATCACACCATCTTGAGGGAGCTCTTGACGGGTCAGGCACGTCGGTCTACTTCGAGTCAGAAATGTCCCAACTCCCTATTAGATTCTATGAGTCAAGTTTACGAGGGAAGAAGAATGCCCAAGCGCTAGTCTAAGCTCTACCATTGATAAAGGCTTCGGAACTAATATAGTTATTATTGATTTCAGCTTACGGTTCGGCCGGAGATTATCAAAGCGTTATTTAGAGCAGAGTGAAGAGGTCTTCTATAAGTGGTCCGTAGATAGGTAGGGGGTCGAAATATATCTGAATTCTAGCCCTCCGTAGCTTGGAGGGCCCTCCGCAGCCTATATATATACGTTTCTCAAAGCCCTTAGCCTCTGACCGACCCCCTGCTGGCGACTCCGCAGGGAACCCGCAGGGTCCCCTGACAGAGATAGACTCATTGGCAGCTCTCAGACGGTTGGACGCTACACAGATGGCTTCTAATTGGGACGGAAGCGACGTGTGTTGGATCAAGGAGTAGATTCAATCGAGTTGCGTTTATAGAGTTCTAGGTCCAGGACCATAAACTCTACGGGTCTACCTCGTACCTCCAGCTAGTCATGGAACTATGGCATTAGAACAACATACTCCCCATCGTCGCACGGATATCTCGCCCACCTTGACGTGTCGAGCAGCCAGCCTCCGCCCAAGAACTGCCTCACCAGCAACCATCTTTCGATCGAGCACAGTTCTCTCACGCAGGACAAGGTAATTCTTATCCAGTATGGTCATTCACAAGCGCCAAGGGTTCTTCAATAGCAATCACTTTAAAACCAGCCAGGCAAAACAACCAAAATTTGGACAAGCTTCATATATTCCCCACCTCAACAGATGGCAGACACGAACCCCTAGTCCGCAGCTAATCAAGCCAGACAAGTAGTCGAGCAGAAGCCCACGAATACTAAAAAAACGCAAAGCAAGGGCTGGGAACCGACAGCTGAGTACGACTTTGTGTCGTGTTCCCCCTTCGGTCGATTCCCCGCGGCGCCACGCGCACACCGGACAGCACAGCTGTGCGCAGCGTCTACTCGTCGTCGTTGATGTCGATGGGTGTCTTCGTCCACTTGCGCGCAGGCACCTTGCGCTTGAAGAGGATGTCGATCTCGCGGTACGAGCGGTCCTTCATCTCGGGGAGGAAGAAGAAGGCGAGGGCGAAGCAGGCGAAGCCCGTGCCGGCCCAGACGTAGCCGCACTTGCCGCCGAGGTGAGCGCCCTGTAGGGAGTGAGTTAGCATTTATTTGGGGAAGAAAGAAGAAGAACATGGGTGGACGTACGGTGGAGCTCAGCATCCAGTTGCCGAGGAAGATGCAGGGAATGTTGACGAGGTAGTAGCAGCCGCGACCGATACCGGTGGTCAGGGGGCGCAGGCGAATGGCCGAGGTCTCTCCAATGATGACCCAGGAGGCCGGAGCGGGGCCGAGGGTGAAGAGGACAGAGATGATGAGGCCGAGCGATGCCTGGGCGAGGGAGGAGGAGGTGCTCTGGCCAAAGGAGGCGGCGATGCCGAGAGCGACGAGGAAGCCCGTGTTGATGAGGGAGCCCCAGACGTAGATGGTGCGGCGGCCGAGGTAGGTCGTCAGGATCCAGGAGAGCATGACGAAGATGGTCTGGAGGGCCGAGGTGATGAGGCCGAGGGCGAAGGCCGTCTCGTTGCCGATGCCGGCCTGGCGGAAGAAGAAGACGGCCTGGTTGGCGATGAGGTTGCCCGTCAGGTTCTGGGCGGCGTAGACGCAGCAGACAATAGCGGTGCGGTAGGCGTCAACGCCCTTGAAGAGCTCGAGGTAGCTGGGCTCCTTGTCCGTCTTCTCGAGGTCGATCGTGCGGCGCATCATGGCGACCGTGTCGTGGTAGTTGGTGACGACGGACTTGCGGCCGAGGCGGGAGACGGCGTTGGCGGCCTGCTCGAGGCGGCCCTTGCGGACGAGCCACCAGGGCGACTCGGGGGCGAGGAACATGAGGACGGCGAGGGGCGTCGGGAACATCCACTGCAGGGCAATGGGGATGCGGTAGGAGATGGCGCGGGACTCCTCGGCGTAGGCGTAGGTGGTGCCGCCGACGATGATGGCGCCGATGGCCCAGAACATCTGAAGCATCTGCGTGCAGGGGGCACGCAGGCGCATGGGCACAATCTCGGAGCAGTAGGCGGGCGAGTTGGCGATGAAGATGCCCCAGGGGATTCCCTCGAGCAGCTGGGACAGCAGCATGATGGGCAGCGAGTTGGCGAAGTAGAAGACGAAGATGAAGGCGTTGAGGAGCATGAGACCGACAATGGTGGCCCAGCGGTAGCCGATGCGGCTGGTGAGAGGGCCAGCGAGGGTGACGCCGATCAGGGCGCCGATGGGACCAGAAGCCTGGAGGGCCGAGGCCCAGGCGCTCCTGATTTCCCAGTTCTCGGTGCCGTCGTCGCTGGTGTTGATGTAGACGCCGAATTCCTTCTGGAAGGAGGGCAGGGCGATGAAGCTGCCCATGAGGAAGACACAGTAGGACTCCATGATCTGGGGAGGGACATGTTAGCGAGGTTCTATGAGGTGGGCCAAACGGAGAAGCCGGTTGCCGAGGGACAACGACAATGGTGCAGGACATGTGAACGCCCACAGACTGGCCATGGGGTAAGCGCGGACAGCCTCGACGACACCCATCTTGTATTCCGCCTCTTCGCCCTCGACGGCGTCGGACTTGTACTTGTCACGGGAGACCTTCTCATCGTAGTCATTGTGGGCAATACCCGTCTCGATCTCCTGCGGCTTGTCGCCCACAGGCGACTTGGTGTCGCCGGGATCACTCATGCTGGGCGGTTTTCAGCGCTACCCCCCCTGAGAAGCAAGTTGACTGCGCTGGGGGGAGCGAGAGAGAGAGAGAGAGAGAGAGAGAGAGCAGTGTACAGGGGGGGTGATGCCCAAGGCTTCATATATACAGTAGCAGTGAGTATTGTACGAGATGGAACGCTGGAGGGCGTAGAGTAAGGTCCGGGGGTAGCAGGCCCGGGGACAGCAGGCCTGGCAACAGCAGGCCCGGCAACAGCAGGCGCAGGGCCAGGGCGAAAGCGAGAGATTAGCTTTGGAGCATGAGGCCTTGGAGAAAGAAAGGCGGCCATGTTTCGATGATACCCGGGCCAGTCACGGCCAAGCAACGGCGTGGCGCTATGTATCGACCGCTCCACCGCGACGACTCATTACCCCGACTTCCCCGACCTTCTCCAGCATTTTCCCACGCGAAGCCCGCCCAGAAGCAGGCAAAGATGCGCCGTCGCTTGCCCAACCTCGCGGCAGATTGCCCCGAGTCGTCCAAGGCCGGGATGAGCTTGTCGGCACTGCGACCTGGGGCCCGTCAGCAAGGCACGTCAGTGGCACAGCGGTTGGCGCCTACAGTACGTGCGTCTCCCGCCGTCCCTCTGGATTGGCGCGGCTGAGCACGAGCCCAGCACGACGGATGACCGGCTCCTTCGTGACGGGGCCCTTTTAGCATCGAAACATGCCTGTCCATACGGGGCGGGGGAGGGATGCGTTCGGGGCGTCGTCGCAAAAAAGGCCATGGCCCGAAGCAAGGCAAAAGACGAGAGGCCTTGTTGGGAGGGGGACCAACCTGAATTTGTGGTCGTTTGCCCATCAGCCAGGCGCCCCCCTCCCCCACGGAGTAATTGAAAGAGCAAGAGAAAAAGCCTGCCTCGGCGATTTAGCGAGCGCCGCAACGCCTTTACCGGTCGGAGCCGGCATCAGTGGCGGCAACAGGGCTGGCCTGGGCTGGCCTAGGGTTGAGCCGAGACGTGGTCGAGCTCCTCACATGTGGTCATCTTTCGAACGTGAACTCAACACGGAGAGAGCAGAGCTGTAGAAACAATTTGGCCGCGTTCGTTCCCTGGAATGATTGATTGTCTTGGTCAAATCAGCCCTTTGCGAGACCACAAGGTTCGTGCATGCATCGGGTCATCCTGCGATGGCCCCCCGCAAAAAGGTCGGTAGGAGCACAAGACAGTATTCCTTGCCACTTCCCACTTCGCTAGAGAGTTCGAGCGAGAGACCGCGAGGGAGCGAGGGAGCGAGGGAGCGAGAACGAAAGAGGGGGTGCCCTTTCACAGGCAGAAGGTAACGTTGTCGCGGACAGGGATGCTGCATTGGAGCGGCTCGTCTGAGCATGTTGGTCCCCCCCCAGATTTCTCCATCGTGGAGCACCGTTGCACTAAATGCTGACATGTTGATGCACGCTTGGCATCCGGCCAAACTGCTCAAGGCCTCGAAGTGCCCTGCATACGACGGCCGAACATGCGACGATGCACAGGAGAACGGGTCTCTGCTGCATGCCCTCAGTGCAGTCTCGTTGCAGCAATGGGACCTTGATTGCAACGCGAGCATGCGAAACTCCCAAACGTGTCGTCTGGATGACGGTTGTCGGGTCCCTTGGATACCAAGCATGGCGGGCTTTTCTCTGGCCAGATAAGCGGGAGAGATCAGATGGGGTCTTCCCCAGGTGGCGTGCGGCCTTGCATTCGAGTCAGCCGTGGTGCTGTGCATTAGCTGCCCAGACACAGCGGGTGAGCCCGCTGTGGAGAAGGGCGTCTCGAACCACAAACTGCCGGCTTGTCGTTCTGCCGGCTTGTCGTTCGGCCTGGTGTTAGTTTGTCTCGAGATTTGGCATCAAGTCGTGGGAACGGAGGATTGACAGCGTATGCGGTTTCTGGTTTTCATGATTTCAACGAGTCGATTCCTGTGTGGAGCAGCCTCTATGGGACTACGCTATGTGGCGCCAGCCTCCAAGCCACATGTTCTCGATATGCCAAGCCTCAAGGCACGATGCTGGATCTCTTGCTCGAGCAGAGGAGCCTCCCACGCATATCGCCATTTACTATGAAGATAATTTTTCTCGAGGCAGAACATGCTCCGAAACGAAGGAATTGAGAGGAGTTCAAAGCAGCGCTATTCTCACATAAGCTTGCATTGGCAGCAGATTGGCATTGGGACATTGGACATAAGTCGACACCCAGAAAAACATGAAAAAGCTGGACAAGGAAAAGAAACAGCAATCAATGCAGGACTCATCTGCGGACCTAATGCCAAAGACCATTCCATGTGGAGGACAACAGAAATGGCCAAGGAGGCCCAGGGCGACAGCAGATTCTCGGAAGACTAGATGACCAAAAACGGTGGACCCAAGTCCGCAGAGTGCGCATCAGAAGCACACTACTGGAGAAAGACGGGGCAAGGGTATTGATGACTCTGTTTCCAGGAACGAAACACGATCACCCACACCGGGAACTATCTATCGGGAGGTCTGGAGCTGGAAGCTCAGGGGCTACCCTGTGTGCACCAAGGCTGCGACGGCTTCAGTATGAGCCACGGCAAAGCCATGCAGATCCAGAATTTGCATGGTCTTTTATGCTGCCGGAACTTCAATAGTTGACCGACGTGTTCACTCCGCTGGCCTACGCTCTGGCAGTCCATGTTTCGTCGCTACACTTCTTCACTCTACTTACCAACTCGCTTTGACAGTGATGCTGTCAGCGTTCTTATACTTGGAGTGCAACCACATCAAGTCAGTCGGGATACCTTCATAGGTCGACAGGCTAAGCTTCTCGCCGCTTCACGCTTTCTGGCCAACCAGTACAACATTCCACACAAGTGCCTCCCACCAGCTCCGACATACCTCGAAACCACCTCGAGCTGGGTAGAAGAGATCCAAGGATCAGTAACCATGCTTCATGCTACTTCGCTCAGACGGACCAATCCCACTTCATATAGTCACGCATGTGGATACAGGTTGGGTAAATCCAATTATCGATGCGAAGACTCGACGTCTCTACAGGCATTTTCAATGACGAGATTCAAACACAAAGAAACAGCTTCATCGGGCGAGAATTGTCATCGTTCGTAATTAAGGGGGTTCGCCCGAGTTCTATATAAGTGACTTCTGGGGTACTATCATACAAGAAGGTAAAAGAAGACCGCCAGACCGGGGATGAGGGTCGTCATAACGGCCCTCAGGTCGTGTTGCAGTCCCCGGGCACCGGCTTCAACGGGGGGCTCGGACACCTCAGGCGCGGGAGGTGCGCTGCTGGGGATCGCGCTGGGCACGCCTGGGATGGAAGGAACTGCGGGGACAGAGGGAACGACGGGGACAGAGGGGACGGCTGGGACAGAAGGAACCGCCGGCACAGAAGGAACCGCCGGCACGGAAGGAACCGCCGGCACGGAAGGAACCGCGGGGACAGAAGGCGAAGGGATGACGGTAGGCTCCGAGACGGGAGGAACCTCACTGACGGGCTCAGAAACATGAGGGACCTCGCTGGCGGGGGCAGAGGGGACGACGGGGACGTCGTGGGTGGTTGTGTGGCTCTCGGTCGGCTCCGAGACGGAGACGTGAGAGGACACAGCAACAGACGTGGTGACGCTTCCAGTGGAGTGAACCGACGTCGAGGTGGGCACAGGCTCGTCGTGGGTAGGCTTGTAGGTCGAGCCGTAGTCACCGGGGATGGTGAGAGTGATGGTGTTCTCGTAATCGTCGCCGCACTTGTCGCACTCAGCCTCGTAGGTCACCAGAGGGACGGTGGGAGTGACCTGGGTAGAGCACTGGCAGTCCTCATAGTCCAGCGTCGTGCAGACCTCAACAGGCACAAGCGAGGTGGGGTTTGCCAAGTCGACGGTGGTGTAGGTGATGGTGGTGACGACAGACGTGATGATCACTTCGTAATCGTTGACGGTCGTAGGCACAGCCGACTCCGAGCAGCTCGTCTCCGCGGCGTAGACGTCCTTGGTTGTGGGGACTGCGTAATCGTCAACGGAGGAAGGCACGATGGAGCCGTACGGAACAGCAGTCGAAGAAGCAACATCGTCGCAGGATGCCGAATCGGAAGCGGAGCTGGATACAGCATCCGAGACGGAGCTGGGAGGAGCAGAGCTGGGGGGGAGCCGAGCTGGGCACAGAGCTGGGAGGAGCCGAGCTGGGAGCCACGGAGCTGGGAGCAATCGAGCTCGGAGGCACGGAGCTGGGAGCAATCGAGCTCGGGGGCACGGAGCTGGGAGCGATCGAGCTGGGAGGGACCGAGCTGGGGGGGATCGAGCTGGGAGGCACCGAGCTGGGAGGCACCGAGCTGGGAGGCACCGAGCTGGGAGGCACCGAGCTGGGAGGCACCGAGCTGGGGGGGACCGAGCTGGGAGGGACTGAGCTAGGAGGCACGGAGCTGGGAGGGATCGAGCTCGGGGCGGCGCTCGAGGGGAAGAAGACGGGATCCAGAGGAAGGCCGACAATGTCGATGAGCAGAGCCGAGTCAAAATCACCGTTACCCACGTCGCAGAGCACAAAGTCGAGGTGCTGGGTGGAGCCGGGCTGGACGAGAAACTCGTAGCTGGAGATGACGCCGGCGCGGGCGTACGACAGACCAAAGGTGGCACCCGTGTTGGGCAGCGCGGACGCGGCCAAGACGGCGGTCTGGGGCTGGGGGACCTCGTCCCTGTAGATGATGGACGAGTCGGGGTTCCCCGTGATGCTGTAGTGTCTTTGTTAGTGTCTGCACTGTCGCTGGCCTTGGGTGCCTGTCCACCAAGGGATTTGACTTACGGTTCCTCGGTGGCGAACAGGTAGTTGATCCTGATGGCGGTGACGCCCTGGGGCACGTTGACGAACATGCCGTAGTAGACACTCTCCTGGGTGTTTCCGACGGCGCATTCCCTGAAGGGGGGTCCCATGCTGAAGCCAAAGTTGGTGTTGGGGGTGCTTCCCACGACGGCATTGGAGACGAGACCGGTGCTCATAATGATACCGGATGTGAGACCTTGGGGTCCATCCGTGAAGGTGCCGATGGCGCCGTCGTTCGGGACGACGACAGGGTGCCCACTGAAGGTGAAGCGGCTGTCCTTGACACCAGCAGACTCGAGGCCGGCGGCGGGCTGTCCGGGCGTGACCACGATGGCGGTGGACAGGCCGAGGAGCATGGAGGAGGCAATAAGCCTCGCGGTTCCGGCGGCGACCATGTTGAAAGATGGAAAATTAAGTAACTGTAAAACGAGTGACAGGTAACGAGTGACTAGGCGATCGCGCAACGAGCAAGAGCTACTCCTCCCGCCATGGAAGTGCCGACGGTAAAGCTTTATAGCAATCCTGTCAGTCAATGGGCATCAGAGCAATGGCGGAACAAGGTGGAGTCACAACAACACCTCAGCGATGATTGCATCGTCCGGAGCTCACTAGATCCGTCGAGATGATTGACATGACTACTCAGACGCCACAAGAGACGGCTTCGGCGCCTGGCAGGGGCTCAGATGTGACCAGGGCATGGAGTCGAGACGAGTTGACGAGAGTCTCAAGCTGTGTGTAGTCGCGATGCGTTTCCTGTATCGAGTGCCGCCAAGAGAAAAGCGCAGAGGCTATTGATTTTGCCATGTGCAGCTAGTCTCAGCTCTTGGTCTCAAAAGGGACAACGTCAGAGCTTGAAGAGCATAAGCTTAAGGTCCACAGCGAATCGCGTCTTGTTCTTGTCGTTACCCCTGTTGGCAAGCAAAGGGGGCGATTCCCTTACTTAGACATCTGATCCCGGCCGGGGCATCTCGGAAATTTCCAGGGGTCGCCGTCAGCTTTCTCAGCCACCTCCCTCATCAGGGGGATGGCTCTTCCTCGGTACCGTACATCTAAGTCATGATTTGCTTGTCCAGCGCCACGAGAGACCTGATCGTCCACCCCCCTTGACAGGAGGTGCGAGTGATGGCCAAGCGCCGGGTTGGTCTCTGGGGTGGATACTAGGTAACCGCATATGGAGCGAGCAGAGCGCTCAGCTCGCCACTTGCGATATGCTCATCTCGGCAATCCGACGAGCTGTTCCTATTGTGCCTCTGGTGCCTTTGCTCCACACCACGCGCGCGGGTCGTCCGAGCGATGACGGTCTGGAGCTCGATATAACGCTGGTCCAGGTGCATTCAATAGTGCTCCGAGGTTGACCTGTCAGAGGGGTCCTGGTGGGAGGAAGACAGCCACTTCTTGAAGCACCTGATTTGCCGAGTTGCTGCTGCCGCCGGCGTTCAACCACATATTGAAGATGGGGTTGTCGATAGCTCCTCAGAAGATCAGATCATGATGTGTTGGATACTGAAGCGATGTCTCACAAGAACACGGCCCATGATAGGCGGCGGTGACGAGGAACCTGTACAGCATGTGGCAGGACTGCTATGTCATGAAATGCACACGAAAAGAAATGGTGTCCGATATCAATGAGCCCATCAGTGATTCACTGCACAAAGCGAACGAGGCAGGGATCCATGTGGCTGAGTGTGTTTTTGCAGTCTCTCAACACGTGAGCAGGCGTTTCGCGGCTGAGCTCTTCCGAATGCAGGGATCGAACCCTCGTACCGGATGTGGTAGAGGGGCTCAGACGTCGCTGTAAATGGTACATGGGCGGCTTCATGCGTTGCTTCAGCTGTCGGCGGTGTGTCGTAAGTCGGCCTCGCAGTGTTTGCTGGTGCCGAAAGATGGATCGGGGGATCTGGGTCGTCAGGTAGGGTTTCCTCTACCCCAAGGTACCTCTAGATAGGCGATGCAAGATAGGTAGGTTAGATAAAGGCCACCCCGGTAATAGGATCTTCGCATCCAAGGTGTGGCATGTGCTCGCTTGCACTGCGAACGTAATGTAACACCAATTCGCACGCAATCTTGGGAGGCGCTGTGAAGCCACTGACCGAGCGAGTGGGAAGAACAAGGCACCCATACCCATGAGGCGTGTCTGTGTGAGGGATGGTTGGATGGTGGATGGGTGGATGGATGGGTGGATGGATGGACGGGACGGGATGGCCTGGCTGCCACATGAGCCTGGGAAGGGGCAAGGGTACCCCAATTTCCACCCACGGGGTTGAGCGGGTTCACGACCGTCAGCCTCATCGGTTGGGCCTGCCGCCACAGGAGCGATCCAGAGGTTTCTTACGTAGGTACGTAGGTCCAGGCCCAGGTCCAAATCCAGGCACTAACCGACAAAGAGCTCGCTCAGCACCCAAGAAAGAAAAAAAAACAAATAAAAAATCATGCGGGATCCAGGGGCATCTGCCCCGCTGCAGGTACTAGAGACAGAGAATCAGCAAGGGGAAGAGAGGGCGGACACGAGATCGTCAAGTCTTTGCTGTCGACGAGAGTGAGTCCCATGCGGACTCGCACAATTGTTAGACATGAGGTCGGACGCGGAACCTGTCAGGGAAGATCGGTATCACCATGGTCTTGCTGCTCAATCACTGTTGAGGCCGTGGAACATGACAGCAAGGGAGCCGGCCTAATTTGCGCTTCGCAGCGGATCAAGATAGAGATCCCTTGCCTTGAGATCCAGGCAGGCTACTGGGGAACTTTTGGCAGATCTCTGCTAGAAGTCGGACTATCATCGCGTGGAGTTAAGCTGCAAACCCATTGCGGACCCTTTCTGCTGGCGGGCTTCTGCGGAAACCTTCGTTGGCAGGCAATTCAGGATCATACACGGAATCCAAGAACCTCGACACGGTTCAACAAAACCCAACGGCTGGGTGGCCAAGCTTGTTTTTTGGGCATTCTCAAAATCCCATCTTTTGTGTCCCATGCAGGTTTGCAAACATGCTGGTCCCAAATTGGCAAAGCCTAGTTGGGCTGGCGGTGAACCAATTGGCTGTGGTGATTGTCAGCTGTCGCGGCAGGTCCACGGGAAATTCACATCAAGGTGTTCAGTCAAACTCAACGCTCAACCATATCTATTCAGAGACGGAAGCCGTGCTCAAAGTCAGAAAGCCTTGTCTCATAGGTTATGGATAGCAGAGCATCTTCAAACGCAAACAGCCAGAGCGATTATCCTTCGATGCCCTGCCAATGGCTGTACTTTCATGTACCACAGTCTCAAGTGCGGCCGAAAGTATTATCCAGCATAATGGCCGGAGTGTTTCGACTTTTTTTCTTGTGTTAACATGTAAGCCAAGTCGTGATGCTCCTCATCTCGCGGATCCCGTGCTGTCCATTCAAAGCTTCAACGACGCGGAGTGTACCCCGCCTCAGACGTTGCGATCCCTGAACATCCTCAGTCAGCATCTTTACGTGCCCCGCTGTCTACCTAGGTACCTTACACTCACAGCACTTTCAGGCGTACAAGTACAGCACAGCGTCCCCTCACTAAAAGGAGCAGGCCCAATCAGAACAGCAGCAGCTCACTATGTGGAGGCTGTGACGCAGTGTTGACGGCCGCCCGGTTAGGGATGTCATTACCCCGTGTATCCTCGGCTTTGAGCCGATGCTTTCCACGCCCCAGCGATTGAAGCTCCAATTGTCGACAAGGTCCAAACTGCCATTCTCCTCCTCGGCAATTCAACCATCACCGCCAGCAGCAGCAACCGATCAGAGGACTCTGCCCAAGCACAAACCCGATACGAGTGCCGCTGAGCAAACAGAAGCACTCCAAGCACCGTCGCACATAACAACCACAATGAACTCTCTCCGCTACGTCCGCCCAGTGGCCTCACGGCTGCAGCCGTCGACGCTGCCGCGCATGGCCGCCCGCGGCTTCGCCAGCGCCAACTACGAGTACATCCAGGTGTCGCAGCCCAAGCCCGGCGTCGGACAAGGTGCGTAGCGAAGGGGGCCAAGAGAGCCGGCAAATCTCCTTCACAAATCATGTTCCATCGCTGACGCAAAACTTGGCTGCCGGCAGTGACCCTCAACCGCCCCAAGGCGCTCAACGCGCTCTGCACGCCCCTCATCAACGAGCTCAACACAGCGCTGCGGGCCTTCAACGAGTCAGACGACACGTCGGTCATTGTGCTGACGGGCTCGCAAAAGGCGTTTGCCGCGGGGGCCGACATCAAGGAGATGGCGCCGCTGACCTTCTCCGAGGCCTACACCAAGGCCTTTATCGAGTCGTGGTCGCTGCTGACGACCGAGGTCAAGAAGCCCATCCTCGCGGCCGTGTCGGGCCACGCGCTGGGCGGCGGGTGCGAGCTCGCCATGATGTGCGACGTGCTCTACTGCACCGAGGGGGCCAACTTTGGCCAGCCCGAGGTCAAGCTCGGCACGATCCCCGGCGGCGGCGGCAGCCAGCGGCTGACGCGGGCCATTGGCAAGTCCAAGGCCATGGAGCTCATCCTCACGGGCAAGTCGTTCAGCGGCGTCGAGGCGGCGCAGTGGGGGCTCGCCGCGCGCGCGTTCCCGACGTACGAGGCCCTTATGGAGGAGACGCTCAAGACGGCCGAGACGGTGGCGGGGTACTCGCGCGTCGCCGTCCAGGCGTGCAAGGAGGTCGTCAACAAGAGCCAGGACCTCGGGCTGCGGGACGGCGTCGAGTTTGAGAGGCGCGTCTTCCACAGCCTGTTTGGCAGCAACGACCAGAAGATTGGCATGAAGGCGTTTGCCGAGAAGAAGAAGCCCGAGTGGACGCACTCGTAGGCTGGGGTAGGAGAGCAGCAAGAAAACCATGGTCGTCTGCTACTGCGATAGATCACGATAGATCACGATAGATATGCAGGCAGTCACCTAGTTCTCGGATTTGTGGGCTACATGGGCAGCCAGGACAATTTGATCGATACTTGAGCAGCAAGACAGCCAGTGCGGAAGTGCAAGATAGTTGATGCACAATGGTGCCTCGAGGTTGGAGTTGTGCACCTGATATCGCAGATTACCTACCTACCTTACCTGAGGTATCAAGTACCTACCCACCTGGGTAAGGTACAGTGGGGAGACAAAAAGAACGACGGATTGCCGTTATGAGAAATACTTTGTCAACCTTTAAAGTACTATTTTGAAATAAATTAAATAGAAATCAGTAATCTAAATAATAGAAGCTATAGATTTAGTAGCGTTCTATTAGAATTATTAAAGTTATTATTTATAGTAATCTATAGAATACCTAAGTAAAAGAGGTTAGAAAACTATATGTTGTGGTGTGAATTCGGAAATCCGTCGTTCTTTTTGTCGCATGACTGTACCTTGCCTTAAGACCCTACTAGTAAAGGAGGAATGGTACCTAGAGCAGCTCTCCACTCGACCTAAGCTTTAACCTTTGCAGAACTGCAACCAGCGCAATTTGACCTGCCATCAAGATGCATCAAGATGAAATGCGAGTATCCAGCACGAAACTGCTCACAGGTAGTACCTCTCAGCTCAGGATGAACACGAGGAGATGCATGAAGATGATGCAGGCGCGCCCAAGCGAGGCCCTCCTTCTGCGCCCAGCCTCTAGAGCCCCGCCACCAGCGCCGGCGCCGGCGTCTGACGCCAGCAAGAGCTCCAGCACAAGCGCAAAGGAGCACCTGCCCGCCTTCCACCGCTTACTGCCTGCCGCCTGCCGCCTGCCGCCTGCATCCCACCATCTGCAGTCCGCCTCTTGATGAAAATGGTTCGCCA